AGAGAGAGAGAGAGAGAGAGAGCGAGAGAGAGAGAGAGAGAGAGAGAGATTAAATGTTAAACAGGGTTATTTAATATTTTACGTTGAGTCTTACCTTCCAAGGAGTGCACAGTTGTTATTATAGTCATATAGTTTATGTAAAATAAACTCACAATTAAAGTATACATAATGAAAATTAATATAAAAAATTGTATAATAATAAATAATTAATTTAAAAATTAAATGTCATAAAAATTTATACATTTTTGTGTTCAAAATATAATATGTTGTAAAATAAATCGTGTCAAAACTTTTGTTTTCAATATTTTCATTGATAGTACAATATTATTAATACAGGTCTACAGTATTTAGTATACAAAAACTAATATCAATTATCATTGCAATTGCATTGATATAACGGTATTTATTTACATATAATATTTGTTTGTTTGTAATGAGTTTAAGGCTAGCGTTGAACTGCACTAAACTGTAGTAATTTTGTTATAAAATTAATTCAATTTTAATTTATAATTCTATAACATTTAGTTCACTTAAAAACAATAAACCAGCACTAAATTAGTAAAATTAAAATAATTATATTAATTGTTTATTTATAACACAAAATATAAGTTAATTGAGTACTTTTCAATCAGATATAAACAATTAATCAAATTATTTATTAAACCACAATTAATAGCTTTGTATATTACAGTCAATTATATAGCATATTATTTTTTTGTACTAAGGGTACAGAACTTCCCAAAACAATGTTATTAATAATTGTCATAAAAATGTACTTAAAATTTCCATATGATCATGTTGTGATAACACTTTTACTTGCACACAAATGTGCTTCTTTTATCGCACAAATATAATCATCTATATCAGTTATATAGTAACTGTAGTGCACTGCTTAACACTTACCAATTTAGATCATGTCTAAATACTGTATAAATACTGTTTAAACATCTAATACATTAATCTATTTATAGATTATCAATTTGTTATCAAGTGGAAAAATTTAATAATCTTATTATTGATTTGCCTAGATTTATTAAGATTTAAATATGTGGATAATAGTTATTAACATTTTTAATGTTTAATGTACAAGTAAAAATTCTAATCCAATTTCAGAATCTGTTGTAAAATTAATGCCATATTAAAATAAAATGTCCTGGATGATAATTTATTCTAAAAATATTTAATATTAATATAAGAATTTATAACAAGGTTATATAATATACCGCAGGTTATATAATACACTAAAACGCGCAGGGGCCATTTATGTGCCACTTTTGTATAGTGAGGTTATACTTTAGTTATAGAATGACTAATGCTATCAAATATGAATCTGTCTATAAATCGCTATATTTATAACTCATACAGTGTTCACTATTTACTATTACATTTCAACATGCGAATCCCTGGTTATATTCTTTGTACCTTGTGATAAAATATTTATATCAAATTATAAATATTATCATAATATATAAAATCACTACATCAGATCCATACAAAATTTAACTATGTAAGATTCTTTTGTCAAAGTTATATGAGTGTAAATTAAATATTATAAAATTGTAACTATTAATATATAACATAAATATAATTTACAAAAGTGACAATAATATTGTTACTGTTGTACTGATTTTATTACTATTATCCGATCTTTAGTATACATATGCTTAAGAATATATGTCCGAATTATATTTGCACTTGGTAGTTGCAATGTACTTGACAGTTATAATTAAAGAGCTAAATATAAGGGGAATTAATATAATTAATGTAATAAATTGAGGTAAAAACAATTAAACAAAATATTGTATCACATAAGATAGATCGTGGTCATATTAAATGATCTTGATGTACTATAACTAAAATGTACTAAAATTGGCTTTACAATGATTTAATGTTACTTTTATTGCATTATAAATTATACTAATAAATATATGCTGGCATTTTGATTTAATTACAATTAAGTACATTACAAACACATAATATTGTGACAGGTACTGTATTTAACCTATAATAATATTATCTTTATATAATGTAAACTAGATTGATGTTATATTAATTTTATTTTAATGTTTTATCTTAGTTTATACTAATTATAATATTGGTAAAATGCTTTGACAATATAGAGTTATACACGAGAGAGAGAGAGAGAGAGAGAGAGA